TTAATTATCACTGACGCAACCAGTTGCTTTCCATGACTAATAATTTGTGTCTTCTGTTTTTATTTTCTCTGTGAGGTTATGTATTCGTTGTAGCTATTTATCTTCTTTAACAATAAAACATTCTTAATTGTGAAGCAAAAGATCACTCTACTTGTAGATCCATAAGTATGGTGAAGCTTTTTGAATTGTCTACATATGGTTCACTTTAATTACAAATACAGTTTTAAGTAATGCAAAATCCTAAATTCAGTAATCAGAAATACCAACAATTTTAATGGAACACGTATGGTCACTTAATGAATTTCCAATTTACATGAGGACTAAATCGATAATTAAACTGTAAACCATACTTTACTGTAAAATCTAGGTACGATCATACCTATCGGCTTTCTTCAACCATTTAATATATTTTCGATTTTAGTTTATTATGTAACAAGAAAAAGAAATACAACCTTAAATCATCGAGAAGAATCTATAGATAATTGGACAATAGTTTAATTTTAGTTTAAAATGACTTATGAGATGTATACATTTTCCTATATGTTATTAGACAAAAGAGTTCGTTTTAATATTTTAAGGTAACCTTAAAATTAAATATTCAAATCAAAATCAAACATTTCAAAAAGGTATTTAAATAAAATAAAATAACTTAATCTATAAACTCTGTATAAAGCAAAATACATCGTATCCTATTTGAAGAAACTGTGAAGTGATCAGTTTTGATATTTCTAAACTTTCGTCAACAAATTAGCTTTCATTTTCCGTGATCACAATAACTTTATTCAGTTTTCTGTTAACAAGTATAGCCCATTATAAAAGTTTGGGCTTTAATAAAAACGTTTCGTTACAGAATGACTTCACTAAAACAGTTGTCCATTACTGAGGAGTCTCAGACTAGAGCGAAACAGTTGTTCAGTACTCCGGGATTTTCAGTGATTAATCAAATAATCTAAATCAGCGGCGAAATCTATCTCAAAATCAAAATTTATTCTTCGTTTCTTACCTTATTACAGGTAAATTAATTTAGCATTGCTTATTGGCTAATACTAAGCAGAATTCATGAAACGGAGAGAGAGAAGATAATAAATTCCTCTATCCAATGGTATTAGTATTTGGATTTCCGTTAATATACGAAAGACAAAAATATGAAAATTCTTCTTTTACCCTATTGACACAAATCTTAGCTTTATTAACATTTTATAGGAGTAAGGAGGTGGGTGTTTAGGTTAGTTGAAAAGATCGGTAAATCATGGAACACATTGAATGAAGAAACAAGTAAGTGTGAATAGGAAGTTACAATAATGAAAAAAAAAACACAACTTAAAATAAACCTTATGTAAATTTTAATTCTGCATTACGTTAATTCTCATTAAGTATTTACAACTGGATCTTGTTGTCAAGACAATAATGATTTTTTGAGGTATGTCAAATTTACTTTGAGAAAATTCAACATTAATTGTGAATAATTTCTTTTTATTTATTAACCTTTAATATTACCTTTAATTATTAGCCTGTCAGTGAAATGTTTAACATATTGCTTTTATCATAATAAAAAAAAGAATCATCCTATAAGTATATTTTATGAACACAATAAATCTAATAATTTGAAAGCATTATCATTGGTTTGTGATGGGAACTAAAGATAAGTGGATGACTCTTTTGTTTTAATTTAAGTTTCCCCCCACAGTGTGTATCTATAACCCAGAACAGAATGAAACTTAGAACATACAGGTTTGTAATTTGTTATTACCATAGAATCTCAATATAAGATGAAATATAAGTTTAGTGCTTCAGCTATTTTTCTCAGCAGTTATTTCTTCATTGATGAAAACCAGCTTAAAAACAGTACCATTTCTTACTAAAATCACCAAAGCAAGTAAATCGAATTTGTTCTAGTAAATTACTGTGACTTATTATTTTCAACATACATGGTATATTGAAGGCAATCACAGCTTTGATTAAGTCATTTTAATTATATAGTTAAAAGGAACTGAATGAACTAAGCTTCAAACAAATTTCTTTTTAATGAAATTTAATTAATCAGAAACCTGGCAAAGTTACGATCTTCAGCTTTCAAGGAATTTTACTAATATATGTATAATTAACCTTTATTTGATCTAAGACAAATATTATCAAATCAATAAATGTTCGTTCCCACTTTCCTTTCAAATATAGTAGCTTACTTTAATCAAATAACATAAAATGTAGAGTTACACCCTTGAAAGTTCTTATCATATAAATAACTCATTATAATATATTGGCTGGCTACTTCGATATAAATGACAATTATATTTTATTTTAAATATTCTCAGTTTTTTTCTTCTATAGTTAATTTAACTTTTGTTATTCGTTAAGTTGAAATCTAAAGCAAAATATCTATTTAATCAATCTAAGTAATTTATAATGGACTCATAGAAGTATTTTATTAGGCAGTTGTTTTGTCGTTATAATAGACACCTCATTCAAGAAAAATATATTCTGTAAACTAATTTTGAGTAATTCTGCAGTAAATATAATCTGGAAAAGGCCCTACTAGAATACAGAGAATCGCTTTTTACATTGCCAAGTTGAAAAATCTTATTCTGTTCTCTAACTGTATTTCAATTTGAAAAGAACTTAACAATGAGCCTGAATTTATTACTGTGTATTTCTAAAAATGATCGAAATACTTTACAAAACGATTCACATTAGAAAAGTAAGAAAGCAGATCCCACTTTAGCTATGCAGTAAAACACTTCGTGAATATTGATCCTCATAGGAAATTGCTTAAACTATCTTGCATCAACTATGATCAAGATGACTCTAAAAAAGTACAGAAAAATGATTTCTTAAGTGATAAAGTATCAAAAGTTCATTATCTTAAACTTTTAAATTTCATAACTAATAGAGTGGATTATATCCACTGAAATACAGACAACACTAGATTATGTTAACAAACTTCTCTTTAGATTTGAATCACATTTTTACTTGTGAATTTTAACTACTTATTATAATTATACAAGTAGTTAAATAATAAACTTGCTATGAGAAACCAATCTGTTCAACAAAATTGGTCATTCCAAATAACTTATAGGTTATAAAACTCCAAGTAGAACTGCTTAATAAAACAACTGAGTGAGATCGCCCAAGATGATATGTGTTTACTTAATGGCGACTGTTTGAAATTGAGAGGAAATTTCTGTAATTGTATAAGTCAAATGATGGCGCTCATTCTTACCCATGATGATATAGTTATCTGTTAACCTATTAAGTTACTTTAGAAGGAATAAATTCAACCAAAATCAGAATACTATATCAATTCTCGGGTCATGAATACTGTATGTATTTACTCTAGTTGATTAATTTTATCACCAAGTAATGATTAAATATATGAGTAATTGTTTGTAAAATGGACTGATGATTTGAAACCACCATTGAGTACCCATGAAATTTAGTAAATCTATTTAAAGGAATTTAAAGTTCATTCCTCTGAATAAATAACTATCGTCTCTCGAGAATGGATATGGAGTATATTACATAGACAGCTGTTTATAAATACATGTGGATTTTAGGTGTTGGTACTAGGAGTTATCTCAAGTTCAGTTGTATGCAGTAGAATTGTTTTAATGGTTGTGTTAAAAATTATGATTTTAGTATTGGTTGATAGTTGTTTTGTTCTTCGATTGTAGGAATGTTGCAGCGTTTTGTTAATTCGTCTCTTGAAACTAGCATGAGGTCCTTCTTTTTTACTCGTGGTAGCGTCGACTTATGTGAATGCTTCCAATTATTGTTGATTTCCTCTATCAAGTGTGATTTGATTGACGCTCGCTTTGTTGTGCCTCAGGATTTTGATCTTATCCTTGTGAATATTGAGACGTTTCTCAGTAGAAGCCACTGCTACATTATCTGTCTTCATCTGCATTTTTTTTCCGCATATGTTATTTGTATTCCATGTACCTATATTGCAATAGCTGTCAGAAGGAGCATCAGACTTGTGACTGTCGAAAAAGTCCCAGGTTTCACCAATAGGAGTCATAACTTTTCTAAATAAAGATCTTTCAACTCCCAAAGCAGAATTTAAATGACTAAATAATTTTTATGGTTAGAGTCTTTTAGGAAGTTTTTCTTCTATAGGATGCGGTTGCTAACTCCATGCCCAACCCTCCTTTGATATATGCGTTTGTGACTGTCTGTAGCCCTAGAAGGTCTCCAAGTTAAGTTGTTTGAGTGGAGGTATGATTTAAAAAATGACAACACGCTCTTGAACTTGCTTACATATACTGGAATGTGTTGCACGTTATTGAATCTAAGACAGAAAATTATGGCTACTTGTTCGCCGTTAGTAACGATAATATCTTTGATCCCAGTCTTAAACACTATCAATTCGAGTAAACGAGTGTCCACTGTTAGAGAGGGTCAATATGAAAATAACCATTACTGAAATACTTTCAGTTTTCCTGAAAATACGTTTAACAATTTCCATAGGTCAAATCATGTATTTTTCTTATTTAGACAATGATTGAAAACTAGGATGTACTGGAAAACTGATTTTAAGCCGTACATACCACTAACACCACCTCTGGGGATCGAACTCAAAACGTTCAGGTTTCGTGGTGAGGGCTTTAACTCTAGACCACTAAGGTGGCATTCAATAGTGTACATTTTTAACTGAGTTTAATTCACTACACTATTCTACAATTTAGCTTATTGGTATATTGCAAATAGTATTCAGAAATCAACTAACGTCTATATTCGAGTAGTTATTCACACAATCTATGATTTACTCCGGAAAATCACCATATAAAGTTTACCGGTACAAGATTACAACTAGAAGATATCGCATCAAAGTGAAATTGAATAGCTAAAACTAAAATTATTGATTACTTATGAATGAATGAACGGATTTATATACAATTTCTACAGGGTTTAACTTAACTACATGACATTGATCACCATTCAGTGAACAATCGTGAATATATAAAAATATATATCATCGACAATAATTAAATATAGGCGTTTATTGCCAATATACAAACATGATTATGCTATATAGTTTATAATGCAGAGCTAATTATTTTCCTTTACAGATGTCTAATAAATTTATGATTACTGAAATTCTTCAAGATCCTATCGAAAAATCATCAATTACACTAAATAGCTCTTCAATTGATGTAAGTTATGTTTATTCTATATTTATAAAAATTAATCATTATTTCTAGTCTACTCCTTTAGTCACATATTTCATCAGTTCTGTAACAAGTCAAAATCCACAGTGTACAGTTTCTACAATAAATAATTTCACATCAAATAACTTGGATTTATCCAACAGTATTCAACATACTATTGCATTCATAGATCATGATCATGCTGTTAAGCATAAAAACTATGAAATCGAAATAGGATTGTGTTCCAACTCATTAAACTTATTGAATCCAAAGGTTTACACAAAGTATCTATCAAATTTATTTAAATCTGAATTGAATAATCACTTACTCAGTCAACCAACACAAAATGAGACTGAAAATCAAGTTAGATTAAGCAGCAATAATAACTGTTTAGCAGATTATCATTATTATTATCCTCATCATCATTCTATTAATGATAAACAATTAAAAGAAGAATTTTTAAAACTTTTAAACTTAATGATTTCCAAACAGACTAATGAAGATAATTTTTCACAACCTAAACTATCTGAAGATGTTGAATGTAAAGATGATAATGATAACAGTTTGTTATTAGTAAATGATACTGAGAAAAATTCTTCACATAATTGTCTAAGTAAGTACATTAATAAATATTGAATTGAAGAATTCTTCAAATTGAATCCATCATTTAATGTGAATATGTTTGCAATTTATTGTATCATCTAAGTCAGAAAATTTGAAAGTAAAGTAATAATAGGTGAAGTTGGAAATATTAAGCGGGAGGTTGTATAATTGATTGAGATTTTGAACAGATTGATGTTATAACACCATTGAAAACCTGGAAGGACTGGACGGCCGTTTCGTCCTATTGTGGGACTTCTCAGAAGCGCACATCTACGATCCTGCTCGCGAGATTCGAACACAGGGCCTTCAGTATCACGCGTGAACGCTTAACCTACTTGACCAATGAGCCGCGCGAGACTGAAGGCCCTGGGTTCAAATCTTGAGAGCATGATCGTAGATGTGCGCTTCTGAGAACTCCCATAATAGGACGAAACGGCCGTTCAGTGCTTCGAGGTTTTCAATGGTGGTCTGACATCAATCAGTTTAAGATCTCAATCAATAACTTAGTAATCTCCACAACCCTATACTGGTTGTATAGTTATATGAATTTATGCTTGCCTAAATATTGGTATCAGCTAAATCTGTCATCTTCCATATAATGCACTGCTTTTGGCTGAAAAATCATTTTAGAAAAAAACGATTAGAGTATTCAAATAACTATGATGTTCGAAATTGAACTCAGTTATCTACAATTTCAAAGTACTTTATATACTATCACTTAATTGAAATTTATTCATTCAAGTCATGAGAATCAGAATAGAGTTTATAAGGTTCTTTTTTAGTTGCAGTTTAAAGAAAAAAATCGTCAAGTAAGTTGGACAAGGAATATGTAGTCTCTTTTAAAAGAATTCTAGTAGCAATAACAGATTGGAGCTGACAGACTATTGTTATAAGTTAATGGTCCCAAGTTTCATACATTTTACTATCGTTATTAAGACATTCGATTACGTTTATACGTTTCCCAACCGACGAAGTGAAGGGGAAGAGTGAAGAATGACTATCAGGTTTTAACTATAAAACAGAAGCATAATACAAGCAGATGGCAGATACATATACATTCGTCTCTCTGAACCTGATGAGACGGGAAAAGATTTTTTTGAGTTGTTTTGTCACTCATGTGATCATATCGTAATATAGAAGAATAGTTGTATTAATCTGGTCTGAGCACTGATTAATTCACTAAAACTGCCTGTCTAGTACCGAGGTCCTTTTGCTAACCAATGATAGCACGAAAGTAATGAGAAAATAGCAGTAATCAATAATTAACGACTATTGGTTCAGAACATAGTTCTCCAACTCTCTCTCGACTAGTAAACTGAATAAAACACAGCACAATGCGTTAAAACCTTTATTTAGACAAATTAAACTTATGAATCGTCATGTAATAATAGTGAGTAAAACCATGACAACACATAAACATAGTTAAAAAGTTACAATATGAGCATGCCAAGCCGTAAGTGTGGAGGAACTGATTAGCAGGCTCGTATTAAATTAACAGTAACTTATTGGTAGTACAAAGTACAACATAGTTTATAAACCACACAAAAGTTTACAAGCAGACAAATACAAAAACACAAGAATTTAAGAGCGCCCTGTGTGTATAGATTATCATAGCCTATCAGTACTGAAACTCTACAATCAGCTGTTACGTTTTAGAGAACTCATAACATGAATACAAAGTGCTGCCACTAAGTTACTTGTTCAGTGACTTAGTTTCTGTGTTAAGCGAGTTTTAAGCGGTCATCTATTATTAACTGATGGGATGATATTCAGGTATGAGATATGGTGGGTCTCAACGTTGTTAATTTGCTGATGGCGGCAGATAACTCTTAAACCTATTTACATTAAATTTTGCCAACAGTATTAATTCTTCTGACAATGACTGAAGTTTAGTATGTTGTTCAAATAATAAACTAAGTTATCTGGTTCATTGATAAACACCGAATAGTATTTTAGAGATTATTTCATGGTCTGAATTCATAGTGAGGATTTTTATACGAGATTGAGGATGAAAAATGTTCGTGTAAAGACTGGTTTAAAATATGAGGAATACTGGTTAGTTACTGAAGTTAAAAAAGAGGCTTGGTCGTGGAAAGAAACTGAAGCCTTCTTCGTTAACAATCTAAAGTTATACCAGCTGTAATACAAATCTTCAGGTATTATCCCTTCTTACAAAAACAGTATATGCATCATAAGGCCGGATGCTATTACGTGGAATAAAGTTCTCTTGTAAATTTCATGGTCAACTTTTACGGATAAGACAGCTTGTTACAGAAGGTTATCTTAATGAAAGTACTAGTCAAAATATATAACAAATGCTTATGTAACTCAATTATTAACTAAAGAAAAAATGCCGTCAAACAGAAGCAATAGGAGTAAAGATGTGTAGACATGAATAATTTATTTGAATAGGTTACGTTACACAAACCATCGACTTTTTATTGTCGAAGAGATGTTCTGGAAATAAAATAGTTGATTGGAAAACTGAAGAAGATTAACACTCGATAATGGCAAGTGTACAGTTACGTTTATTTAGTGAAATAGTAGGAATATTTTAAGATGGATAGTGGCTAGCAGTGGAATCCAGGACGCGTGTTTCGTCCTAGTTGGGACTCGTCAGATCGATGAATATGCATCCGAGCAGCTATGTGGATAACGCGGTGGCGTTTGAAGCGAATGTTACTGGGTTCGAGTCACGGAGTGAACGTCAACTCTGGATGCAGGTACATCCAGTTGACGAGTCCCAAATAGGACGAAACGCGCATCCTAGATTACACTACTAACCACTATCCATCTTTGCTTGAAAAGCTTGTGACTTAAGGCTATATCGAGGCAATCCACACAGGATGCACATATGCCAACAAGAGACTGATCAATTGTAGTCCTGAATAACAATGGGAATATACAAGTAAAACAACAACTGAATGTTAAGAATATTATTTTTATTCTATTAAATATAATTAACGTTTTCATTATAATAAGAATAAATGTAACAAATTATACCACATAAATATATATTTTTTATAACAGAAAATCAAGCTCTACTGGTTACTAACTTAATTTTAGAAGTTCTAGATCTATCATCGAAAATTAACCAAACTAATCGATCCAAACATCAGCGTAACTTATGGCCTATAATATTCAAAGAATTGGAATTCAATTGTAAGCCAATTATTGCAACTGAGGATTATCATCAACGTAGCATTAGTGGTAATAGTAGTAATCAATTTTCCAAACCAAATTATCTATTCGGTTGTGAATCTACTAACAGTTATACAAGTATGGTTGATATGGTTAAATCGGATAATGATCTATCACAAAAATGGTGTTTGAAATCTGATGCAAATACAAAAGCAAATAGTTACAATGGAAAACGGTTGATAAAAAGAAAATTTCGTAAAAGCTTTCTACCTAAAACTAATCAAACATTTGAATTCGAACGTAAACATAGACAAGCTTATTCAACAGATCAACTTGAACGTTTAGAAACAGAATTTGAAGTATGTTGTAACTTAATTCTTTGAAGTAATTAAGTCATAATTTTATTAACAAACGGCTTCACAAATTTTAGTATTTTATTTAACTTAAAATTCCAAACAACATGGAAAAGTATTTCAATTACATTAACCAAAGAACCTCTCTATGGTTATTTTCTATTCAATTTTACAAAATGATTTAGACTGGTCAACTTGAATTCATTTCTAGTAGGCTCCAAAGTAAACAACGTGGAGCATCCTTACTATCTAGTTGAAGTAACTTAGTGACAACACACACCACAACTGTAGTATTAAGTTGTACAAATTCACTTCTCTAAGTAACCATTTAGCAGTCTTAAATGATCATAAATGTAGCTTCCTGATGAGAGTAAGAATTTTCTACTCAAATTTCACTCTGAAAAAAAAACTCACTAAAATTAAAATATTTCATTTCCCTTGAAAATTACTTATCTGTTAGCTAACAAATTATTATCAAAAGTATTATCTTATTAAGATTTATGATAAATTTTATAAATAAAAGACCAGGAAGCAAAAGACGTCTGTTTTGTTTTAGTTTATAGCTCATCCAGAAACTAGTCACGGTGGACTGAACCCGGAAATTTCAGTTTTGGGGGAAGAAGTAACTGTCCACCGAAAGTAATAGGAGATGGACTGATTGAAATTACATTTGTACATCATTGCATCCAGATTCTTTGGTCTAGAGGTTAGGTGTTCTTATGAAGAACTGATACTTTGAGTTCGAGCTCTGGTAACGAAGTTGTGGACAACCACTGCTGAGTAGTCCCGAACTGGGACGAATTGAGCATCCATTGCTTCCATATTTTCAAGGGTTGTTCAGCTTAGACAGGTTGGTAATTTCGATACGGTTCAACAATTTTCCACAACTCCTCGTCCTGCAAATGATTACGGGCTCACTAATGACCAGCTTCAGTGGGTGATTTCCGGAGTCCTTATAAGAAGCCGTAACCAGTTGAGATTAATTGTGTCGGCTTTGAAGATAGCACAGACGGTTATCCACTGCTTTTATTGAGTTACATTGACATTATTATTTTCGTACGACTAAAATATTATATTTTATCAGTAACTATAAAAAGTAGTAGTAAGTCTTGGTACGAAGGGATATCAATAAAGAATAAAAAAAACCCAGAAAATATTGGATAGCTGTTTTATTTTTAACTTAGATCTTTTTAGCTTTATCAACCCTCAGATCAACATAATATCATGCAATATACCTTTGTTTCTTGTAGTGAAGTCATTATATGTAGATAACTAGGTCAAAATCCAGTAATCTATACACATAACTTTCGCCAATCCTTAACATAACACAACTATCATTCTCTGACCTAGTTGAATCCATATATCACTAAACTTATGGATGATGATGCTTGATGGTGTTCGGTTACTTACTTATTTACTTACGCCTGTTGCTCCTCGTGAAGGAGCATAGGCCGCTCATCAGCATTCTCCATCCAATCCTGTCCTGGGCAATCCTTTCAGCTCCTTCCAGTTGTTATTCATCCTTTTCATATCTGCTTCTATTTCCCGACGTAGTGTTCTTTGGCCTTCCTCTTTTACGCTTCCCTTCAGGATTACAAGTCGGGGCTTGCCTCGTGGTGCAGTTTGACGATTTGCGTAATGTATGTCCTATCCATTTCCATCGTCTTTTCCTAATTTCTTCTTCAGCTGGAAGCTGACTTGTTCTCTCCCACAGAAGGCTGTTGCTGATGGTATCCGACCAATGGATGTTGAGTATCTTGCGTGGACAGCTATTTATAAATACTTGTACGTTCTTGATGGTGGTTGTTGTAGTTCTCCAAGTTTCAGCTCCGTACAGTAGAACTGTCTTGACGTTTGTATTGAAGATTGTGACTTTGATATTGGTTGAGAGTTGTTTTGAGTTCCATGTGTTCTTCAACTGTAGGAATGCTGTCCTTGCTTTGCCAATCCTCGACTTTACGTCTGCATCTGAACTTCCTTGTTCATCGATGATGCTTCCTAGGTATGTGTAGGATTCTACATCTTCCAGAGTTTCTCCATCAAGAGTGATTGGATTGCTGTTCTACGTTTTGTATGTTGAGGCCTACTGATGCAGAGACAGCTGCTACACTGGCTGTCTTTATCTGCATCTGTTCGTGTGTACGTGATAGGAGGGCTAGGTCATCTGCGAAGTCCAAATCGTCTAATTGGCTCTGAGCTGTCCATTGTATTCCGTGTTTTCCTTCAGATGTCGAGGTCTTCATAACCCAGTCGACCACCAGAAGAAAGAGGAAGGGAGAGAGCTACCGATGGTGTTCGGTAGCTAAAGGCAATCACAGGAACCGTTAGATTGAGGCTTTGAACGAGTAAACATTTGTCACTGACGTATGCTTGAAATTTCGAGGTAATTAATACTTTACGTAGCTTTCAGGCTTGTTTAACCCATTTTCTCATTCAGAGAAGTCACCACCAAGTTATCTGGGTCACAGCTCACCTTGTGGTGCATGCTACTTATGTTGACACATATGTATTATGTAACACTAATCAGAAGTGGAATGCTTGGCAGCATAAGACTGATAAGATCGAACTGAAGAGAACGGGAAGGGAAACAGAGGGAATCGGAATAAGTGTGTAGAGGACAACTGATGGAAGGTGTGCAAATGATATATTTAATTTATGGTTTTCATATTCTACCAAGGCACTGTGATTTTGCATTAAACAATAAAGTGGTTATCTCTACTACATTTTCATTCACTACAACCTTATTTAGGAATGATATATTAACACTGACTGGTTAATAAGCATTAACCCCTATTATTTTTGTCTAGTCATTAATTGTTAACCAAATTTGATCGATCAAGTTATAAAGTGATCATTTCATAAACATCATATTGGTTACTAGTCAATAATCAATAAATGTGATCTCTAAAATTGAATACAAAACTGTATCTCATCCGTAGTACTCGTCCAATTTTTCATCATGTAATTCATATTCTGTGTTGTATATTAAATCAATAATTTTAATATTTAAAAAACACATAAATTCTAAATAAAATTTAAATTATGCACGAAAATGTAAATTTATTTACAATAGACTAAATAATTCTCATTGAAATTACATAAAAATTGAAATAAACATTAAAACAAACAAACAAACAACAATGAACATAATTGTAATTCATGACTTCAAACTTCACTAATACGATATTACTGAATATTATTATCATCCATATATATATATATATATATATATATATATATATATATATATATATATATATATATATCAATTGGAGTCCTAAATAACAATCGGAAGATATAAGTAAACAACACCAAGTGAATTTGAACTTCACCCCATTGCACAAGTAGGTGGCTATCGGGGCTCACTAGGTAAGTGAATAACACGATGGCGTTTGAAGCGAATGTTACTGGGTTCGAGTCACGGAGTGAACGTCAACTCTGGATGCAGGTACATCCAATTGACGAGTCCCAAATAGGACGAAACGCGCATCCTAGATTACACTACTAACCACTATCCATCTTTGCTTAAAAAGCTTGTGACTTAAGGCTATATCGAGGCAATCCACACAGGATGCACATATGCCAACAAGAGACTGACCAATTGCAGTCCTGAATAACAATGGGAATATACAAGTAAAACAATACCAAGTGAATATATATATGTATATTAAATATCAACTTCAAATGTAATGTTCATGAAATACCACTCAAATGTGTATTATTTAACAAAGCAAACTGAATATATTCGAATTTTCTAATTGTAGTTGTAAGTTTATAATTATAATGAGTTCAGTGAAAGAAAATTTGGATTCAAGTTCTTTTAAAGTTATATAGTAATCATGAAAATTTCAATAAGATATTAGGTTTTTCAAATAATTTATGAGAACAGTAGATAAGATAGAATATAGATCATCAGTCTTTTGATTACCATATGGAATAATCAGTTTATTTGGAAATGATGACGTGAATCAGTTTGTCTTGTTGATATTTGATTGCATTAGCTGATAAAAATACCAATGGTTTTGAATCCGTATTATGCAAGTCAAATTAGCCAGTACTTATTGAGCATAGAGAAATCATTGTTTAGCTACTTTTTTAAACATTCATTGTAGTTTCACAAAAAAAATTTCAAATGGTGTACATGCCACTGAAATAATAGTCTATGAAATAGCAATAATGTGATCTCATTTTAAAGGTCTAAAATCTTCTTAGCTCGTTTTTTGGCATTAATATTTTCATTCAGGTTAATTCGCCCTTAAATGCCGTGGTACGGTCGAGATTGAGGAGAGTCAGCTCTCTCTTTCGAAATGCTCTCACATGGCCACGTGCATACAGTCACTGCTAGGGACGTTCTACTCACTGCCTTCTCACGGTTGAGGTGTTGTTGACGAAATTAAGAGGCCGTACTTTAACCGGGTTGGTGGATATGAAGGGTCTACCTAGGGGATTCGAAAAACACTGATTCCAAACCAATGATGTACATTGGCTCCAGGATCCTAATAGAATGAATGGCGTATGAATCAACTGTTGGTCACCGGCTACCATGGAACTGCATCTCCTGACGTTGTTCCACTGCCTTGTGGATCATACCTTTAGGTCAAAGGCTCCGCGTGTAGTCCCCTAAAAAGGCATCTGCTTCGTTTGGAGCAGTCGAACAGTATCCGAGTTCACACACAAATCGAATGATTTATGTGCCGCATATATATATATATATATATATATATATATATATATATATATATATATATATATATATATATATATATATATATAGTGTCTCCTTGTACTCATGTTTATGTGTTTAAATAAATAAATTTTAAACTCCAACTTATAAAAGCGTAGTAAAAAATTTATAACTGATCGATCAATTATTCTCGGTTTAGTTTCATTTGTTATTAATTACCAAAAAGATCTTTACAGGATGAGTTCAATCTACACATTCATTCATTCATTCTATTTCAATATTCAAAAATCTATTTCAAAGTGATAAACATATTAAAAAGTATAATTTACATTTTTCATAATAATTGACATTACAAACACGAAGTTTGGAGAAGAGATTTCTTTTCAATAAATTTATTATCAAGCTATACAATTATATATATATATATCCAGTAAGTAGCCAGTAAGTCCCTAGTTCGAATCCCGCGGGGGCGGGATCGTGGTTGCGCACTGCTGAGGAATCCCATACTAGGACGAAACGGCCGTTCAGTGCTTACAGGTTTTCAATGGTGGTCTAGCCTCAACTGACTCATGATTTCAATCTGTGAAAATTTCTAAAATCTCCACAAACCCCTTCTGATATGACATTTTTTTGTTCATGCTTCGTGAGGAAATGTGAACACGATGACGTAAAAGAAAGATTATAATACTGGATTACGTAATACGAATAATAACAATAGACTTAGCAAGTCAATAATGAATTATATATATATGATTGTACAAGATGACAATAAATTTGTTGAAAAGGCATCCCTTCATTGAACTTCGTGTTTTAATGTTTTAAATGGGAATTATCTATTAATTGACATTAGTCATCTAAACATATTTGGATTGTAATTTTAATAGTTTAGATCACGAGTCAATTGAAGTTAGACCGTCATAGAAAACCTGAAAGCACTGGATGGCTGTTTCGTCCTATCGTAAGACTCTTCAGTAGTGCGCATCCAAGATTCCACATTGCATGATCCGAACTCAGGACCTAGAGGTTAAGCGTTTGCGCGCGAGACCGTCTAGTGCTTCCAGGTTTTCCATGGTGGTCTAGCTTTAACTAACTCATGATCTCAACTATTAAAATGACTAAAATCTCCACAAAATCCCTTATGATATAAATTAGTTGGTAAAAGATTCTTATTTGATGAAACTGTTTGCCTATTTTTGAATTAAATTTTAGAAAGATAAATATTTAAAACTAAACAGACGGATAGAATTATCAAATGAATTAAATCTAACTGAGACACAAATTAAAACATGGTTTCAAAATCGTAGGTAAGTGTTAAGTAAAGTATAGTTTATTATTAATTGAAAAGAAGAAAGAATTCAGTAAATTTGTAGTAATAGTTTAATAACAAATTTCTAGTATAAATTTTATACGCATCATTTTACTGTATATCATGATAAAAGCTATGATATTTAATAGTTAAACATTTAGGAAGTAGAGTCATTATAATTCAGTTTATTTCTTTTGAAACACTTCATCATCATTTTACATTCACTGGGATTATAGTTAAGATAAATTAAATTTTGTGTATGAATGGGATTCACCACTCTACATTAACTTCATTTAATACGTGAAAGCATTTGATAGCATGGACAGGACAACACTATGGAAGCTTCTTCCACACTACGGCGTGCCTCAGAAGATAGTCAATATCATACAGAATTCCTATGATGGATTAAACTGCAAAATCGTGTATAGAGGACAGGTCACGATTTCGTTCGAAGTAAAGGCCGATGTCAAGTAAGGTTGCTTACTCTCACCCTTCCTCTTTCTCCTAGTGATCGACTGGATCATGAAGACGTCAACATCTGAGGGGAAGCATGGGATACAATGGACAGCTAAGATGAAGCTGGACTACCTAAACTTCACAGATGATCTGACTCTTACGTCGCACACGCAACAACAAATGCAGGAGAAGACGACCAGTGTGGCAGCAGCCTCAACAGCAGGAGATCTCAACATACACAAAGGGAAAAGTAAGGTTCTCCGATACAACACAGCATGCAACAATCGGATCACAGTTGACGCAGAAGCTTTGGAAGATGTAAAAACCTTCACATATCTGGGCAGCATCATTGATGAACATGGTGAATCTGATGCAGATGTGAAAGCGCGGATCGGTAAAGCAAGAGCAGCATATTTACAACTAAAGAACATCTGGAACTCAAGACAACTGTCAACCAACATCAAGGTCAGAATTTTCAATATAAATGTCGAGACGGTTTTACTGTATGGGGCGGAAACCTGGTGAACTACGAAAGCAACATCCAGAAGATACAGGTGTTTATTAACAGTTGTCTACGCAAAATACTTCGGATCTGTTGGCCAAACACTATCGGCAACAACCTACTGTGGAAGAGGATAAACCAGATCCCAGCGGAAGGAGAAATTAAGAAGAGGCGGGACACACTTTGAGGAAAGCACCCAACTGCGTCAGAAGGCAAGCCCTCACATGGAGTCCTCAAGGTCAAAGGAGAAGAGGAAGACTAAAGTACACATTACGCCGAGAAATGGAGGCAGACATGAAAAGAATGACTAAAAAATTGGATAGAACTAGAAAGGAAGGCCGAGGACAGAGTGGGTTGGAGAATGCTGGACGGCGGCCTATGTTTCATTGGGGGTAACAGGCGTAAGTGAGTAATGGTATAGCACGGTGATATTACATATAGCTGTCAAAAAGTAACATTTTGATATTTTAATCAAACTATCTTATTAGTCATTATATGTGAAAATTATATTTGAAATATTCTCAGCGATTGAAATTTAACTAATTCCAACGTTTCGTCCAGCTAACTTGTCTGGACGAAACGTTGGAATTAGTTAAATTTCAATCGCTGAGAATATTTCAAATATAATTTTCACATATAATGACTTCTCTATACTCGGCGCTCAATTACTGTCAGACTATTCGTTCTAATCTTGACGAATATTCGTATGTCTTATTAGTCTCCTAAAATCCTACAATTCATTGGCTTGAGATATCATGGGAAATGTATTAGAACCAAACTAACAATGATCCTATATTAGACTTCCCTTACATTCCTCATATAAGTAACATGAATTCTTTTAAACAAAGAAAATCTATCTTCATTGAGTATTTTTTAAAATTAAACTTTTTCTTTTACGAAATATGATGCTCGATCATTTAGTAATTAACTATATGACCATTTCGTCTTCTATTTCTTCCACTGTATGTCACATTCTTTCGTTTCTTTGGTAAATAAGCATGTCATTTTTAAACAACGAAAGAAACCTATCTATTCACTAAAAAGTATGAAGATGTTTTGGTGATAAAGATTTTGCTTTCGATGATAGCATTTTCGTAAGCTATACAATCATATTAATGGTTAATTATTTATATATATTAGTCTATAGTAAAACAGAAGTGAGTTACAAAATCATCAAAGGTGGTCGACTTTATTCGTGTTGAATGTGTAGTTCCAACTTTCAATGAAGTAATCAAAGATTATTAAAAGAATTTAAGTAGTGAATATAATAGTCCATAAACAGAAGGGTGATACTGGAAACTAAGTAAAATTATCGAAGGTTTATGTATTGGACAAAATGGGTGCTAGATACGTTACCACTAAGCTAGCTAAACCGTGGTTTACTTAGAACTGAGATATTTTCACTGAATGATCCGAGGTGTTTCTTCTCACCATGGCATATAATGACAATGGTTAAAATCCTAAATGAAATATCAGCACCCTTGTGATTACAGACACAGAGTGGTGACGAATGATAACTAACATAAATTTTCAAATCCAAAATTTCCCACAGATTCCCTACAACCCTATTAGCATCAAATAAAGTTAGTTGTGACCGTATTGTAATTTGATTAATAGAATCTGATCAGTATTGAGAAATAGATGATGTAACCTTAGTTATTACCAACTGAATAAACAGTGCAAATAAATTTTTGTTTATACATCTATTCTCAATTATGTTATTAATTGTAATTTAGATTGAAGTTCCTGGGTCCGGGTCCCTCATGTGGGATAGTGGATACACACCGCTGAGGAGTCCCATACTATGACTAAACGACCGTTTAGTGCTCCTAGGTTTTCAATGATGCTTCAGCTTAAATCGACTTATGAATTCAACTATTAAAACGTACATATTTGTTAGAAATGAACGATTGAAACACTCATATTTTGTATCTATTTCTTTTTTAACACTATCAGAACTAAATGGAAAAAGAAATTATACTGGTTGAATTCTGCAAGCCGATTATCAGTAAATTCTGTTAAGCACGAAAATAGTTCATGGTCAATATCTAATAAATCCACTACGAACAGTGAACAACAGTTTGTAGTAAATAACTGTTATACAAGTTTTATACCTACTCAATTTCATTGATGATAAACTGATCACAAGCTTTACTAATCATCAGTTTGTATTTTATCTATTGTCTTTATGAAATAAACAAATATAACAGGATTTTAATTGTCTTTCTAAATAACTGTATGTTGGCGAGACTATAATTTATGGACGATATAATCAAACAGGTCTTGGATTTTGGCGCGAAATTCATTCATCTATCTGGCTAAATAACATTTTGGCATTTTAGATGATGTCTTTTCGTGATGAAATTCATAAATCTAGATCCCAACCCTAGCTACAAGCCATAATTCTAATTTCTCACACTGCGTTTTAACCCTCATTTAATCTTAGTTAGTAGGTGGACATCCTCAAGGTCAATTTAGCATCTCTCAAAGATCACCATGAATTATAGTCTCACCATTTTGTCCTATGGCCCCTCAAATATCATTTGACAAGACCGCCAATCAGTGTCGACTTCTATGACCTTGTCCTTGCGATAAATCGATGATACGTCAATCAGAACTAGCAGCCTTAACTCAACTGCTAGTCCTTATAGGTTCTCTGTATAGTAGCTTCTCGCCTACCCCATCACGTTGAGTTCAGAACACAAATATCAGCCTATGCTTCATGAGCCGTACATACCAGTAAACCAGGCCGTATCACACCGTAAAATGAAAAATAATGACCACACAAGATCAAGCCGAATTGGCTGTGAGTACAGGAGACTGTAACTATTAGATTGAGAATAAGTCTAGAGTGGTAAATTGTATGACAGTAGCCAATAGGTCGAACGAAAGCTTATCATAAAAGGAAGGTGATTACACGTACAATTCAGTTACTTATTAATTATCCAATAAGAATATATTTAATAAAAGTCCATAAATAATTTCTAGCAGTTGCCATTCATTTATTTTTCATTCAGATGTACCAAATTCATTTTTGAATATGATGGTAGAAGATAAATTTGGTTTACTACAGGATCTTGAGTAGGGTTTGACAATATTTCTCTAACACCAAGTTATCAAGTTCGGAAAAATAGCCAAGTTAATTCACTCTCTAACTTCCACTGGTCTTTCTCTTGAAATTATTTTAGTATAGGGATTACATTGGGATGAAATAAATGTCCGAATTAGCGTTTTCCTTAATCATTCTATCATTATAGAATAAATAAATGACTAAGCCATAATCCTTGTACCTGACACTGTCACAGAATAGTCTGTGTAACCTTACTAACTTACGCCTGATACTCCTCGTGAAGGAGCATAGGCCGCTCATCAGCATTCTCCATCCAATCCTGTCCTGGGCAATCCTTTCCAGCTCCTTCCAGTTGTTATTCATCCTTTTCATATCTGATTCTATTTCCCGACGTATTGTGTTCTTTGGCCTTCCTCTTTTACGCTTCCCTTCAGGATTACAAGTCGGGGCTTGCCTCGTGGTGCAGTTTGACGATTTGCGTAATGTATGTCCTATCCATTTCCATCGTCTTTTCCTAATTTCTTCTTCAGCTGGAAGCTGGTTTGTTCTCTCCCACAGAAGGCTGTTGCTGATGGTATCCGACCAATGGATGTTGAGTATCTTGCGTAGACAGCTATTTATAAATACTTGTACATTCTTGATGGTGGTTGTTGTAGTTCTCCAAGTTTCAGCTCCGTACAGTAGAACTGTCTTGACGTTTGTATTGAAGATCCTCACTTTGATATTGGTTGAAAGTTGTTTTGAGTTCCATGTGTTCTTCAATTGTAGGAATGCTGTCCTTGCTTTGCCAATCCTCGACTTTACGTCTGCATCTGAACTTCCTTGTTCATCGATGATGCTTCCTAGGTATGTGTAGGATTCTACATCTTCCAGAGTTTCTCCATCAAGAGTGATTGGATTGCTGTTCTCCGTTTTGAATTTGAGGACCTTGCTTTTCCCGTTGTGTATGCTGAGGCCTACTGATGCAGAGACTGCTGCTACACTGGCTGTCCTTGTCTGCATCTGTTCGTGTGTATGCGATAGGAGGGCTAGGTCATCTGCGAAGTCCAAATCGTCTAATTGATTTTGAGCTGTCCATTGTACTCGGTGTTTTCCTTCAGATGTCGAGGTCTTCATAACCCAGTCGACCACCAGAAGAAAGGGGAAGGGAGAGAGTAGGCATCCTTTTCTGACTCCGGTCCTTACTTGGAATGCATCTGTCAGCTGTCCTCCATGCACTACTTTGCACTGTAGTCCGTCGTATGAGTTCCGGATAATATTGACAGTCTTCTCAGGAACTCCGTAGTGTCGAAGAAGTTTCCATAACGTCCTCCTATCTACACTGTCAAATGCCTTTTCATAATCAACGAAGTTGATGTACAGTGTTGAGTTCCACTCAATTGATTGTTCAACGATGATCCGTAGTGTCGTAATTCGATCTGTGCACGACCGTCGTTGCTATCAGTGGTGGGTGTCTGTGTAATTGACTATCATAAAATCTTATGAAATAAATTATGTAGCAAAGTAACGGAGATTCAGTTATCCTTTAATCGTTTACCTAATATCAAATCTATTGAGATCATATGTTTAACCAATTTGCTAAATTTAAACCTGAAAGTATTGGTTTTTAGTACCATAACTCTAAAATTCTCCAGAGTTATGTATGGAAAGATCAACCAGTTATTGCAGAAACTTGACCATGAGGTCATATGTTGCTTGAGACAAGTGTTAAAAACGAAAATGATGTTATGAACAAAACGTAATCAAATTTGACAAAAAACGAAATCTACCAGAGACTTTTTATATTCGATTTTCTGTATGTTAGAAGATTTATAGTTAGGAAAATCTATGAATAGTTCATTTATAGTTTACCACTTGTCATGACTATGATCAGATTGACTTGCAGTTACAAACAGTAAGAAGTTGAGGATATTGCTTAAATATAATATCGTTAAAATTATTGGACTTCGTAGGCTGCTAGATTAGAGAAAGTAAAAATAGCCACATCAAAATGGTATTACACATGAATAGATCCAAGTTATCTAAAAGAAAAGAATTCTTCTCTGAGGTGATGGAAATATTTACTTATAATCTCTTGAAGTATTAGGTCAGTAATTGTTGAGTTAATAACTTGCTAAGGCGGGTGAATGCAACAGAACAGTGGAGATATCACAACATATTTATTGTCGTGAATGTTCTTAATATCATTTCTCCAGTAAGTCTGATGTAAGTTTGTTGGTTTTAATATTTTGTTGTAGGATCTAACTGTTATTCGATAAAGAACCAGGATCAAATATAAACCGATCCAATGTTTTAAACAAAGTTTGGAGGTTAGGTTTACCTAAGTCTTGCTACTCTCAATGAATATCCATTTTTGAGCTTAGCATTAATGTAAATGGCTTGGGTAAGTGTTAGTCATATAGTATCGTCTCGTTGCATATGAAAGAAGAAGACCAATGTAAGCAAGAAAGTTTGATATGTATTATTAGGCTTTTTGACGAAAATCTCAAATTTCTAAAATACTAAAGTAACAACTTAGTTCGTAAGCCTATATCTTGACACAAAACTAATAATTACACAGCAAACGTCTACATGTATTTTATTTCGTAGTTTACTTAAATATCACATAGCAAAAACTTGGGATTGCGACTGCTAAGCGTGTTCTGTTTACCATTTATTATGGGGATAGTTAACTCTCCCAGACAATTCGTTCTTTGTTTTTCCATAAATTTAAACTAGTTTTCCTCACCAAATGTTACGATGAAACCACCTCTTATTTTTGATTGTGTCAAACATCACTTCTATTACTGGTTTGTTTATTCTTTACCACGCTACTCTATCAGCCTGTTTTCAAGGAAATTGTTAATTTGATTATGCAGAATATTTGTACGCTTAATAGATTACTCTCATCGTCAGATAAACCTCTCGTATTTAACACTGTTTAACGAATACTGGATCACCAGTGTAAGGGCAATTAAGCATTAGGAAGACATTTCAAACAAGTACATTCTTGAAGTTAGACTGAGCTAACAATAATAATAGCTTTTAAGCCAATAGCAGAAAGGAAGGCGTGTTTGTGGAAATTTCTTATTTGTTGAAAACGTAATTTTTCATCCACATAACTCGAGCATAGTGAAAACCATCTTTGAACCAGCAAGTAATATTTACAGTGTACTAGGAAATTGTTTGATGTAGACGTAAGGCTAATAGTTTGTAAGCCATATGGAATAAATTTCCATGATTTGACTTTACAAAAACACAGTCGACAGATGTCTTTCTATAAAAAAATGGAACATTCTATTATGGTCAAAGAGTGGCTTGGTAACCAAAATAATGCAATTACTTAACTTTATTTTACAAAGTTTAAAGTAATATTTTTAAAAAACTTGTTTACACCAAGTGTAACAAAGTAAAAATTTAAAGGTTTTTCTCTCAAAAAATCGATTAATCTAACAAATTCAAGCATACAAAGTGTGCTCAGATTACGGGTGTACACTGAAGCTTGGAAATTACACCACTACACAATATAATTTCACAATGTTCACGTTATACATCTAAATTAATCATATGTTGTGAGACATATCTTGTCCTTTACCAAGCTCACTGCTGACTTGTGAATCATGTGATTATTATCTATCATTCTATCAATAATAATTAGATCAATTCTAAATGCTGCATTATATATCTTTATGATGGTATGTATTACTATTGTTGTTTGTGACAAAAAACAAAAATGATATTATTATATGCTGAGATGAATAGTGGGTAGCAGTGGAATCCAGGACGCGCGTCTCGTCCTATGTGGGACTCGTTAGCCGGATATACTTGCATCTCCGAGTTGGTATTCACTCTGGGACTCGAGCTCAAGGCCGTTCGCTTCCACTTAGCTACTGAGTCCTGATATCCACCTGCTTGTGAAATGGGGTGAAGTTTAAATTCACTTGGTATTGTATTAATAGTAAACATAAAATTAATGACCATAAACTCCCAATCAATTAACATAACGCTGAATATATACCATTGTCAATAGTTATAAACAGTGTCACTATTTAAGAGGGCTCTAAACAAGTAATGCAACACAAATCAATTGGTATTATAGGATGACAAAATATGCAAACGTATGTTTAAATTATTTTGCATTTATACAT